AGGAAGGAAGGAAGGAAGGAAGGAAGGAAGGAAGGAAGGAAGGAAGGGGAGAGAGAAGGAAGGAAGGAAGGGAAAGAAAGAGAGAAGGAAGGAAGGGAGGGAGAGAGGGAGGGAGGGAGGAAGGAAGGAGGGAAGGAAGGAAGGAAGGAAGGAAGGAAAGAAGGAAGGAAGGAGAAAGGAAGGAAGGCAGAATCTCAGGTCCCACCCAGACCTGCTGATTCAGACTCTGAATTAAAATAAATCTCCAGATAATTCATGTACATGTTGATTTTGAGAAGCATTTAATCTTCAAACCCTTTTGCTCATGTTAAAAGAATGTTGCAAACTATGTACTGTAAAACTTTCCCCAAATGTTTAGTTGCAAAAGGATGCCATGTCCAGTGTGTTGTAAACATGGATCTTTTCAAAAAATTGTGTTATTTTACTTTTTAACCATACCCTTTATGATTCATTTTATTTTTATTTTTATTTTTTATTTATTTATTTTGAGACAGAGCCTTGCTCTGTCGCACAGGCTGGAGTACCGTGGCACAGTCTTGGCTCACCACAACCCCTGCCTTCCAGGTTCAAGAGATTCTCCTGCCTCAGCCTCCCAGGTAGCTGGGATTACAGGCACACGCCACCACACCCGGCTAATTTTTGTGTTTTTAGTAGAAGCAGGGTTTCGCCATGTTGGCCAGGCTGGTCTCGAACTCCTGACATCTAGTGATGAGTCGCCTCAGGCTCCCAAAGTGTTGGATTACAAGCATGAGCCACTGCACCGGGCCCATGATTCATTTTTAAAGTACATGACTGTAATCTTCTTTAACAGTCAGAAATTTCACATTGTTCTATCTCTTCTGAATTCATATTTTCATACTTCTATTTCTACCCGCAGACATTATCCTAATGTAATATATTTTGTGCTTGAAAGCCTTCTAAGCCTGAGCAACATGGCAAAGCCTTGTCTCTACAAAAAATAACAAAAAATAGCTGGGTGTGATGGCGTGTGCCCGTAGTCCCAGCTACTCTGGAGACTGAGGTAGGAGGATCACCTGGGCCCAGGGAGGTCAAGGCTGCAGTGGGTCATGATTGTGCAATCCAGCATGGGCCACAGAGTGAGACCCTGTCTCAAAAAAAAAAAAAAAAGAGCAAAGGACTTAAATAGATATTTCTGCAGAGTAGACACACAAATGGCCAACAAGGACATGAAAAAATGCTCAACATCATTAGTCACGAAGTAAATGAAAATAAAACCACAATGAGGTACTACTTCACATCAACTAGAATGTCTATTAAAAAAAAACACACAGAAAATAACAAGTGTTGGCAAGGATAAGAAGAAATTGAAAATTGTGTAGAATGTCTTGGTGGGAACATTGTAAGGTTGACCGAAAGGATGGAGAGGCAGACCCAGGGTCAGGTTTAGCAAGTTTATTTCAACCAGCCAGGCTGGCTGCCTCACCACAGGCAGTGAAGACAGCGGCCTGGCTTACAGACTATAGGGGTCATATAGGGGGTTTGCAGGTAGCCGGGTGCTATTCTAAGAAAAACCACATCTTGGTTCTTAGGTGCTAACATTCTGCTTAACTCGGTCACCATACTGGGTTCCAGAGCCAGGTGCAACCACATCCTGGAACCCAGGAGCTCTGTTTGCTGGGCTGGAGGCTGCTTTTGCTGTGAGCTCAGCTTAGCAGGGGAGAACGGGGCTTGCCTTACTGTGACCCTAACATTCCAGCCTTTTGTTATATATGTAAAAGAAAGGGAGAAGGGTCACCATTCGTTTCTAGCTGCTTCATGCTGAGTAGGGAGCTGGTTGGGGTGAGGCTGGCTTGCAAGTTGGTAGTCCTGGAACACCATCATGTCTTATATTGTGCCACGGGTAAAGGCTTGTAATTGATTCTGCAAAAACTGAGTGAAAATGTGTAAGAGACAAGGGCCAAAGACCAAGAGGAGGAGAGTTATGGCCGGGCCAAGGAAGGGGAGCAGCAAAGGGGCCCAGGAGCTGAGAGACCAGCCAGGCCAGGAGGGCCAGGCAGAAGAATTTTTTTTGTGTGTGGGGGAGGGGGGCTCGGTCTTTGGCTCTTTTGACTGCATCTTGTACTATTCTGGGTTGATTGAGATAGAAGCAACATTGCTCGTCTAGGAAGACGCAGAGACCTCCTTTTTCGGTGGTAAGTAGATCGAGGCCTCTGCGGTTCTGGAGGACAAATGCAGCCAGTGAATCTATTTTTGTTTAGAGGGTAGAAATGAACTTGCCCATGTCCTCTATACTGTGTGTAAGGTCTTTGGAGAGGGAGCAATAGTGGAGAGAGAGCTGGAAAGCCCGGCAGTTCCTGTTGCAACGCCCGCGGTTCCTGTAGCTATTCCTAGTCCCACAAGCAGAGGTAAGAGCTGCACTGCCCGGCGGTGCGGGATAGGAGCGTTGACCGGGAGGCGTGAGGATTAGTTACCTGGGGCTATACTAATTTTCAGGCTGAGGAATACCAGTGTGCAGGTGCCAGTCCAATTAGTGAGGAGGCCTCATAAAAAGAAGACACCTTGGCTTGGCAGACAGAATTTGTTGTGCAAGTTGAAAAGACATGAAAATTCGTTGTTCTTTAGGAGCCATGCTTCTAAAGTTCTGTGAGTGCGGCTGCGGTGAGGGGTTGCAGGGCTGCATTGTGAGGGGTTTGGGTGCCTGTGAGGCTTTATTTTCCCAGTGTAGTAAGAAGCGTCTGGTGTCTGCCAGCATCCAGTGAGAGGACTTATTGGCAAGGAATGGGCGGAGGGGACAATCCTGAGTTTCAGGTGACTCGGTTTTCCAGGAGGGCAGCCAGGGATGGAGATTTAAGCAGGGAAGGTGTCTGCCATTGCAGAAGCCTGACCTCGTATTAAGGAGTAGGGTGATGTTGAGTTCTGGGGGGCTTGAAAAGTGGAGAGTAGTTTTGAATATGTTTTTGTTGGTGTGATCAGTGGAGGGTTTGAGTTGTAAGGTGAAGTTACACCCTTGGGTGGCAGGTGGCCTAGGTGGTGGCCAGTGGGGGAATGGCATTGAAAGCACTGTGGGGCCAGAGAGAGCAGAGCTGTTTGTGTGGTGATGGGGTTTAGTAGAGTCTGAGTCTGATTCATACAGGGAGTAAGGGAGGTGAGACATGGGCGTAATAACAGAACTGCTTGTCCAGTGGGAGATTGAGGTTTGTTATATTCTCTGTGAAGGATTCAGAGAGTTGTATTAGTTGCTGTAAATCATATTGAAAAGGCTCCTAATTGAAAGTGGGGGTGATAGGTTACTCTGGTATGGATCCAGTCTTGGGTGGGGACCGGGATGGCAGTGTCAGCATTGTGCGAGGCAGACAGGCACAGCCAACAGTTGCTTTCCACAGCTGGGTTAAACTGGTTCAGTTGGAACTGAGTTGAGTTGAGAGTGTGGTGAAGGTAGCGTGGTAAGGGAATGGGGTAGGTGTTGCTGAGGGGGGGTAGGAGTAGCAAATAAGCAAAGGGTAAGGATGAAGGTTAAAAATTGGACTTTATCTGGGGTGAAGTTGCACAGGGTGCCTTGGAAGGTAAGGTCAGTTATCCAATCTAGAAATGAGGAGAGAGCAGTTTCTCTAGGGAAGAACGATATCATGTCCTCCGTGAGACAGTGAAGAAGAGAGTGAAACAACAAGAAGAACAGAGACAGGACATTAAAGAAAAGAGGGTGTAGTTATCTACCAGCGAATATTATTCCTGCTATTAGTGCAATGATTAGGCAAAAAAATATGGCAATGAAGGCTCTCTGCTTGCTGTTCACCTTGAGGGGCCACAGCATATAAACCTCCTGCAAACAAGAGAGTGAGGGAGGCAGTTCCCAGAAGGAGGGTGTAGTAAGCAATTTTCTTTTTTTTTTTTTCTTTTTTTCCTTTTACAGATACACTGATCATCCTAGTAAGCAATTTTCATTTAAGGGTGTTATAACACTTGATTTGTAAGAAAGGAGCAGGAACAAATAGAGAGGGGGTAATTTTGCCTAATTGTCTGGTGGGAGTCCTGCCGGAATGGATGTGAGGAAGAATCTGGTCGGCCCGAGAATGACGCTGGAGTATTGACAAGTGGTTGGCAGGGAAGGAATAGACGGACCAGTGGGGGCCTCGGGGGCCTGTTTTAACCTGGAGAGATGATACCAAGAAGTGTGTCCTGAGAGTCTGACCACCATGGAGGTGGTAAGGAGAATCTGGAAGGGGCCTTCCATTTTGGTTTAAGGCTTGTGGGATTAAGGGTTTTTAGAAAAACGTATTCTCCTGGGAGTAGAGCCTGGTTAACAGGGCCTTCGTGAGGCCTTGGGAAGGTCCAGTCGGTGTGTTCATGGAGGAGGTGTTGGATGAGGGAGAGTGTTGGGAGATATTCTCCTAGTTGAGAGTTGGGAGGGGCCTGCTTTGTAAGAGGAAAGGGCGTCCATACATTAACTCAAATGGGCTGAGGAAGGAGGGTGATTTTAGGCTGGCTCTGATGTGGGCTACAGCTATGGGCAGAAGGGAGGTGCAGGGCTTTTGGACTTCGAGAGTGAGTTTGGTTGACTGAGTTTTAAGGATCCCATTTGCCCTTTCGACTTTTCCAGATGACTGGGGTCGGTATGGGATATGCAGGCGCCGCTGGACGCCGAGGGACTGAGAGCCTTGTTGGGTGATTTGGGAGATGAAGCTAGGGCTGTTGTCTGATGTATGGACCGCGGGAGACCCAATCTAGGGATGATTTCTGTTCAAAGAATTTGAGAGACTGCTGCAGCCTTTTCTGAGGAGGTGGGAACACTTCCACCTACCCAGAGAAGGTGTCTATAGGGTAAGAAGAAACTTAGTTTTTTTGACAGGAGGCCTGTGGGTGAGGTCTACTTGCCAGTCTTCTCCCGGGACTGATCCTCTTAGCGGGTGTGTAGGGATGGGAGGAGGGTGGAGGGTCCCTTGAGAGGAAGTGATGGAGCATACATGACAGTTTGGCATTATGTTTTTTGTGTGGTAAGTTGGTGGGGGACTAGAAGTAAAGGAGAAGGTAAGGGGGCATGCACCTAAATGAAAGGACTGGTGAAGAGATGTCAGAATTTCCTTGGTTTGTTCTTGAGGGAGGATGAGTTTTTGATTTCTGACTATCCAGTTCCCTTGGAAGGAGGCTCACTTGTTTTCCAGTGGGGGAATACTGGGGTTGGATTGTGGGAATGATGAGGCGGAGAGGGGTAGGAGAAAAGGAGGCTTCTTTTGCTGCCTTGTCGGCTTTGCTGTTCCTTTTTGAGATTTTCCCTGATCCTGTTTGGGGTCCTTGGCAGTGTATAACTCCTGCCTTAGCTGGGAAGTGTGCAGCTTGGAAGAGTTGGTAAATAAGGGGACCATTAGTGCTGGGGGTTCCTGCCTAGAATGGGGGTAGGACAGCGAGTCATGATAAGGAAAGAGTGTGAGAAAATGGCATTAAATAAGGAACAAGTAAGGGGTCTGGTGGCCTGTGGACGTGGGATGAGTCCGTCAGCCTCGACAGCTGAGACCTGGGAGGGACGAGTTGGTCCTGATAATTGAGGTAAAGCCGAGTAGGTGGCCTTGGTATTGATTAGAAAAGAGATTGGCTTACCCGCTACTAACAGAGTTACGGTGGGCTCTGATACAGTGATGGTGGGTGGGGCCAGGGGCTCTGGACCCCATCAGTCTTCAGGGGCTGAGCCTAGAAGCTCCGGGAGTACAAGCGATTCTTCACCTTTTGTCGTGGTGACGGGGTTGCAGGTTGGAGGTACAGGCTTTTCTGTCTGCCTGTTGAGAGGACAGTCAGATTTCCAGTGGCCTGTCTGCTGGCAGATGGGGCAAGGGCTCTTTGGCGCCTGTGGATTGGGACATGCCCACACCTAATGGCTTTCCTTGCCACACTTGAAACATGCCCTCAGAGGTGAACTGCTATGGGGTCTTTTGTGCCCCTGGGTGCCATAGCCAGGCTGTTTAGGTTGGTGAATGGCTGCTAGAAGCTGGTACTTAGCACCATCTCTCTGGGCCTTGTCTGTTTTACTTTGTTCATCCCTGTTATGAAACACCTTGGAGGCCAGGTTAAGGAGGTCTTGTGGGGTTTGAGAGCCATCTTTAGCCCTTTTTTTTTTTTTTTAAAAAAAGGGGGTCTCACCATGTTGGTCAGGCTGGTCTTAAACTCCTGACCTCAGGTGATCCGCCCGCCTTGGCCTCCAAAGTGCTTGGATTACAGGTGTGAGCCACCGTGCCCGGCCGACTTTTTTTTTTTTTTTTTAATCTTTTTTTTTTATCTTTAGCCTTTTTAAGTTTGGGCTGGATGTCTGGAGCAGACTGGGAGATAAAACGTGTGTTAAGAACTATGGTGTCTTCTTAAGGGCAGGATTAACACAGGTGTATTTTTGGAGGGCCTCTGTGAGGCACGAAAGAAACTGGGCAGGATTTTTGTCTGTCTTGTGAAACTTCTTTGAGTTTTTAAAAAATTTACAGTTTTGTTAAGGCCTGCAATAAGGCAAGTAATTATATGGTTACAAGATGCCCGGCCAGGATCTGTAGGCTAATATTCCCAGGCCAGCTCCTCTCGGGGGCAGCAGCCGCCCCTACGGGTTTAGTAGGGTCCTGTCAATGAAGGGCATCAGCATGTGCCTGTGCTGCAAGCCACACTCTTTCCTTCTGTCTGGGGAGGAGAGTGGAGGAGAGGATAATATAAAGATTATGCCAGGTAAGTTTATAAGACTGGGTAAGATATTTAAATTATTTGAGGCAAGTGTCTGGATTGGAGGAGGAGGACCTGAGGCGCTTTTTAATTTGGGAGAGATCGGATAGAGAGAAGGGGACATGAACGTGGACAACCATCCCCGCCACTTCACGAAGGGAGAGTAAGGGAGCTGGCTGTGGGGGTGCCGGTCTGGGGGCAGGTATGGGGTGGAGATGGAGAGGGGTCAGAGTGGGAAGTGGGGGGACTGGAGAGGGGAGGGGACAAGGGAATAGCTGGAGCTAGCTGGGGCGTAAGGTGGAGGTTCAGGGTGTCCTAGCGGAGGCTCAAGGTATTGGAGGAGAGGAGGGAAGTCAGCCAGGTTGAAAGAGGACGAATTATCCACCAGGGCTGTGGGAGGGATTGAGTTGGGTTTTGAGCAGGTGAGGAAGATTTGGAAAGTGGAGCAGGACTCACAGAGAGTGGGGGGTTGTGGAGCATAAAAAAAGCCTGAACATAGCAAACCTTAGACCATTTACCATTGCCGTGGCAGAAATTATAAGGTCCCTCCTGGAGAATGTTGAAATTGAAAGTACCATTCTTAGTCCACTGAGAAGCATTGTCTCATTTATATTGGGGCCAGGCTGTATTGCAATAGAAAATTAGTTTTTTGGGCCTGATTTCAGACCAAAGGCCAAGGGTGTCTAGATCCCAGAGGAGACATCGTAAGGGACGTCTCAGTTGGAACGGACTGGCCGGACCCCGTGGTAAAAGGCCGGAAGAGGAGGGGGCTGCTAAGGAGAAGGAAGACAGGAGAGGGCATCCTCTGCCCTGTCTCCTTAACGTGAGACAGTGAATTCGGAACAGTGGCTGTCGAATTAGGCATCCCCAAGATGACAGAACTGAGGCCCCTGGGTATGGGTGTCCTTGGCCCAGCTCTGGGATTTTCAGACAGAAAACAGATGGTCAAGGAACCCAGACGGAGGTAAACCTCTATCTAATTTACGGGCTGGGAGGCAATGATTTGGATGGAGATAACCGCAGTTGGCAATGGAGATCTGAGGTTTCCCTCCTGGGTCTGGAAAGGGGTTCAGGGCGGCAGGGCTAGCTGGAGTTCAGGGAGAAAGGGGTTCAGGGAGCAGGGAAAGAAAGAGAGAAAGAACAGCCAACACCTACTCCCGTCCCAGGTTTTGGCACCAAAATGTTAAGGTTGACCGAAAGGATGGAAAGGCAGACCCAGGGTCAGGTTTAGCAAGTTTATTTCAACCTGCCAGGCAGCTGCCTGGCTGACAGACTATGGGGATCATATAGGCAGTTTGCAGGTAGCTGGGTGCTATTCTAAGAAAAACTGTGTCTTGGTTCTTAGGTGCTAACATTCTGCTCAATTGGGTCACCCATCCTGGGTTTGAGAGCTGGGTGCAACCACATCCTGGAACCCAGGTGCCCTGTTTGCAGGCTTGAGGCTGTTTTTGTTGTGAGCTCAGCTTAGCAGGGGAGAATGGAGGGGGGCTCTATGGGCTTGCCTTGCTGTGACCCTAACATAAAATGGTGCGGCTGCTGTGGAAAACAGCTTGGGAGTTCCTCAAAAAGTATAACATATAGGCTGGGTGCAGTGGCTCATGCCTGTAATCCCAGGCTGAGAGGAATTTGGGAAGCTAAGCCTGGAGGATTGCTTGAGCTTAGGAGTTCGAGACCAGCCTGGGAAACACAGCAAGATTTCATCACTACAAAAAAAAAAAAGTGTGGGGACAGGTGTGGTTGCTCACACCGATAATCCCAGCACTTTGAGAGGCCAAGGCAGGCAGATCCCTTGAGCTCAGGAGTTCCAGACAAGCCTGGGCAACATGGTGTAACTCCATTTCTATAAAAATACAAAAATTAGCTGGGCATGGTAGCGCACACCTGTAGCCCTAGCTACTTGGGGAGGCTAAGGCAAGAGGATCATTTGAGCCTGGGAGGCTGCAGTTGCAGTGAGCTGAGATCGCACCACTGTACTCCAGTCTGGTCAGCAGAGACCCTGTCTAAAATAATAATAATAATAAGATTTAACATATAATTGCCATATAATCCAGCAGTTCCACTTTGGGGTATAGGCATATACCCAAAAGAACTGAAAATAGGTACACAAACAAATTCCACTATAACCTGCAATTAAGGCAGTGAATGGGGGCTGGGCATGGTGGTTCGTGCCTGTAATCCCAGCACTTTGGGAGGCCGAGGCAAGCAGATCATGAGGTCAAGAGATGGAGACCATCCTGGCCAACATGGTGAAACCCTGTCTCTACTAAAAGTACAAAAAAATTAGCTGGGCGTGGTGGCACAAACCTGTAGTCCCAGCTATTCAGGAGGCTGAGGCAGGACAATTGCTTTAACCCAGGAGGTGGAGATTGCAGTGAGTCAAGATCTCGCCACTGCACTCCAGCCTGGCGACAGAGCAAGACTCTGTCTCAAAAAAATAAATAAATAAAGATAATGAATGAATTACAGCTACACAAGTCAACAAAACCATAATGTTGAGTGAAAAGGGCAGCCCCAGAGCACATACGGTATGATTCATCTGTGTGATGGTCAAACACACAAAACTAAGCTGCTTGGGAACACCTCTAAATGCATAGATACTGAAACTACTACAATAAGTAAATGAAGTACACACAGGCGTACCTCAGAGATATTTTGGGCTTGGTTTCAGATCACCTCAATAAAGCCAGTCAGACCAACAACTTTTTGGTTTCCCAATGCACACAAAAGTTATGTTTATACCATACTGCAGTCTACTCAGTGTGCAATAGCACATGTGTAAACACAATGTATGTAACCTTAATTTTAAAATGTGTTATTGCTAAAAAATGCTAATCATCATCTAAGTCTTTAGTGAGTCTTTAATCCCGGTGGAGAATTTTATCTTGATGTTGATGGCTGCTGACAGATTAGGGTGGTGGTTGCTGAAGGTTCAGATGTCTGTGACAATTTCTTTTTTTTTTTTTTTTTGAGATGAAGTCTCACTCTGTGGCCCAGGCTGGAGTGCAGTGACACGATCTTGGCTCACTACAACCTCCACCTCCCAGGCTATAATGATTCTCCTGCCTCAGCCTCCCAAGTAGCTGGGACTACAGGTGCCCGCCATCATGCCCAGCTAATTTTTGTACTTTTAGTAGAGATAGGGTTTCACTATGTTGGCCCAAGCTGGCCTCAAACTCCTGACCTCAGGTGATCCGCCCACTTGGCCTCCCAAAGTTTATAGGCATGAGCCACCATGCCCGGCCGACAATTTCTTAAAATAAGACAACAGTGAAATTTGCTGCATCCATTGACTGTAACTTTTATGAAAGATTTATCTGGGCACGGTGGCTCACACCTGTATTCTCAACACTTCGGGAGGCCAAGGCAGGACTATTGCTTGAACCCAGGAATTCGAGATCAACCTGGGCAACATGGAAAGACTCACCTTGCCACTTTTAATTAAAAAAGACAAAACAAGGCGGGGCTCGGTGACTCACGGCTGTAATCCTAGCATTATGGGAGGTGGAGGCAGGCGAATCACCTGCGGTCAAGAGTTAGAGACCAGGCTGACCAACATGGTAAAACCCCGTCTCTATTAAACATACAAAAGTTAGTCAGACATGGTGGCACATGCCTGTAGTCCCAGCTACTTAGGATGCTGAGGCAGAAAATTGCTTGAATCCAGGAGACAGGCTGCAGTGTGCCGAGATCGTGCCACTGCACTCCAGCCTGGACAACAGAGCAAGATTCTGTCTCAAAAAAAGAAAGAAAGAAAGAAAGAAACACAGAATCTCAGGCTCCACCCAGACCTACTGACTCAGACTCTGAATTAAAACAAATCTCCAGATGATTCATGCACACGTTGATTTCGAGAAGCATTTAATTTTCAAACCCTTTTGCTCATATTAAAAGAATTTTGCAAACTATATATCCCTTGCAATGTTTTATGCTATCTAAAACTTTCCCCAAATATTTAGTTGCAAAAGATGCCATTTCCAGTGTGTTGTAAACATGGAAAAAGTGTTATTTCACTTTTTAACCACACCCTTCATGATACATTTTATTATTTATTTATTTAGAGACGGAGTCTCACTCGGTCGCCCAGGCTGGAGTGCAGTGGTGTGATCTCAGCTCACTGCAACCTCCACCTCCCAGGTTCAAGCAGTTGTACTCAGGAGGCTGAGGCAGGAGAATCGCTTGAACCTGGGAGGTGGAGGTTGCAGTGAGCAAAGATTGTGCCACTGCACTTCAGCCTGGCGAAAGACCAAGACTCTGTCTCAAAATAAAAATAAAAATAAATTAGCCTGGGGAGGTTGAGGCTGCAGTGAGCCTTGTTTGCACCACTGCACTCCAGCCTAAGCAATAGAAACCACTTTTTTTTTTTTTTTTTTGACAGGGTCTTGCTCTGTCACCCAAGCGGAAGTGCAGTATCACGGCAAGGATCACTGCAGCCATCTCCTCCCTGGGCTCAAGCAATCCTCCCACCTCAGCCTTGCAAATAACTGGGACCACAGGCCCACCTCACTACCGCAGCTTTTTTTTTTTTTTTTTTGTAGAAACTGGGTTTTGCTTTGCTGCCCAGGCTGCTCTCAAAACTCCTGGGCTCAGTGATCCTCTTGCCTTGGGTAAGTGCTTTTACAGGTGTGAGCCACCACACCCAGCCTTCACCCAGCCTTGTACACTCTTATACTCTTTGAATTTTGAACAAAACTTTACAATTTAATTTTGAACTTTGAATTTTGAGTTTGTAAACAAAACTTTACAAACTCCAATTCTATTTTTTTTTTTTTTTTTTTTTTGAAACAGAGTTTCACTCTTGTCGCCCAGGCTGGAGTGCAATGGCACGATTTCAACTCACTGCAACCCCCAACTCCCGGGTTCAAGCGATTCTCTTGCCTCAGCCTCTCAAGTAACTAGGATTACAGGTGCCTGCCACCACGCCCAGCTAACTTTTTTTTTGTATTTTTAGTAGAGACGGAGTTTCACCATGTTGGCCAGGCTAGTTTCGAACATCTGACCTCAAATGTTCTGCCTACCTCAGCCTCCCAAAATGCTGGGATTATAGCCATGAGCCACTGAGCTCAGCCCTACAAACTCTAATTCTTAACTTGACAGCTTTTTGTATTTCTACTCTCACGAAAGACTCTATGAAAAAATAAAATGAACAATTTTTTTTAAAAAGCTTGGGGTATGGATTAAGTCATTCGCAGGGACACAGGCAGGCCTGGGGAGGACAACCTGATCCAGGTATCATAGGCCCGAAAGTCAGCTGCTCAAGCAGCAAGGATGGCAGAGGGTAGCAGAGCAGACTTGGTAAGGCTCAGAGGATAGTGTGTTTGATGAGAAGTGGAAGAGTCCTGTTCTGTCTAGAATTGACAAGGTGCTGGGAGAATCTGCTTCCATTTCCCCAGATACGCCTGAGCTGGGCAGTCAGTAAGGGTGTGTGGAGGACACGATGGGTAAGGTGGTGGGCTGCAGGGAGACCTAAATTCCCTCCGAGGTAAGTCGGGGAGGGAAGGGTTTGTCTGGAGGCAGGTTGAGGCTGGGGGCTCCGAAGAGCTGGGGAGAATGAGCTCCGAGGAAGGAGGGGGAGCCAGCATTGAGGAGTGTTCAAGGAGATGGATGGGAGTTCAGAAAAGGTGGTTTTGCAAATGGATGGGAGTGGTGCAGGCGCTTTGTTTTCACATGGCTTCTTTCCCCAAGCAGTGAGCCTCTTCCAACATTGCCAAAACTTCCTGCAGTTTTCACCAGGGTTCCTGGACTGAGAGCAGAGCTGAGTGCAGATCAAAGGAGAGAGAAGCCCAGGTTTCACCCTGTTGGCCAAGCTGTTCGCAAAATCCTGACCTCGTGGTTCACCCACCTCAGCCTCCCAAAATCCTGGGATTATAGGCGTGAGCCACCTCGCCTGGCCCCTAGTTTTTATTTCTAAAGCCCACTAAGAATACAATTTTTTTTTTAGATGGAGATTCACTCTTGTTACCCAGATTGGAGTGCAATGGCACCATCTCAGCTCACTGCAACTGGTTTCAAGAGATTCTTCTGCCTCAGCCTCCCGCGTAGCTGGGATTACAGGCGCCTGCCACCACACACAGCAAATTTTTTTGTATTTTTAGTAGAGATGGGGTTTTTCCATGTTGGTCAAACAGGTCTCAAACTACTAACCTCAGGTGATCCGTCCACCTCAGCCTCCCAAAGTGCTGGGATTACAGGCATGAGCCACCACACCTGTCCAATTTTTTTTTTTTTTTTAAGACAGGGGTCTCACCATGTTGGTCAGGCTGATCTTGAACTCCCCACCTCAGGTGATCCGCCCGCCTTGGCCTCCAAAGTGGTTGGATTACAGGCGTGAGCCACCACGCCCGGCGAATTTATTTATTTATTTATTTTATTTTTTCAGGCTCTCGCTCTATTGCCCAGGGTGGAGTACGGTGACACTGTCATGGCTCACTGCAGCCTCAACTGCCCAGGCTTAAGCAATCCTCCCACCTCAGCCTCTCAAGTAGCTGGGATCACGAGCACATACATGCCATCATGTATGGCTAATTTTCTTATTATTTGTAGAGATGGGGTCTTGCTATGTTGCCCAGACTGGTCTCAAACTCTTGGGCTCAAGGGATCCTCTTGCCTTGGCCTCCCAAAGTGCTGGGATTACAAGAATGAGCCACCAAGCCTGACCCAAGAATCCTAAATGTATCTCCTAAATTTATCTGTTCTTGACACCACACCAAGGCATTTGGTACTACAAGCTAAGGACAGGAGAGCTCTGGTTTTATACTGGCAGAAGTTGGGAAAGAAGGGAAAGGATCTATGATTGTAAACCCCTTCCACCAGACTACATGGAAAAGATGGTGTGTGCACCTCTGCTTGTTTCTATGCAGATCTGTAACTGGGTGGGCTGGACGCTTGAAGGATTCATTGGCTCTCAACTCTGCCTGCCACCAAGGACTACCTGTCTTAAGCCATTGGCTGAGATTAGGCTCCCTGTCCCATCCACATTCCCAGAAATGAAAAGCAGCAAGAAGGAGACAGGAAACAAACCTTTACAAACTCTAATTCTTAACTTGAGAGCTTTTTGTATTTCTGCTGTCACTGGAATGTGAATTATTCTTCTGAGAAGTTTGGCAATGCGGAAAATAAGAGATGAGATTTAAAAAAGAACAGAATTTTTTATTATTATTTTTAAAGACAGGGTTTCACCATGTTGGTCAGGCTGGTCTTGAACTCCTGACTTCAGGTGATCCACCCGCCTCAGCCTCCCAAAGTGCTGGGATTACAGGTGTGAACCACCGCGCCCAGCCTAAAAAAACAGAATTTTTAAAAACAATTTTCTTTTAGGTCATGCTCAGTGGTTCACGCCTGTAACCCCAGCACTCTGGGAGGCTGAGATGTGTGGATCACCTGAAGTCAGGAGTTCAAGACCAGCCTGGCCAACATGTTGAAACCCTGTCTCTACTAAAAATACAAAAATTAGTGGGCATGGTATCAGACACCTGTCATCCCAGCTACTTGGGAGGCTGAGGCAGGAGAATTGCTTGAACCCAGGAGGCGGAGGTTGCAGTGAGCCGAGATTGTGCCATTGCACTCCAGCCTGGGTGACAAGAGCGAAATTCCATCTAAAATAAAGTTCTTTTGAAAATTTCATAGTCTGTCTACCAAATTATGCAAAGGGGAACAGAGCTATTGTTTAGTCAGCATCTACTGCATGCCAGGCTCATTTAAACCTCATGTTAGTCCTGTGAGGAATCAAGGCCTTCAAGATAAAGAGGCTTTCAACTGAGCTAAGGATGGGCGGAGGAGACAAAGATAAGGACGTTGTGATTCAGAGAAGTAACTTGCCCAATGGGCCTCATTTCGTACAGGAATATGGCTTTTATTTTTTAAAAACGATTCACAAATCTGGCAGCCTTCTGAGCCAGAGTAGGCTCAGAAACTCCTAGAAATATGGCTTTAAGCCTAAGTGCATCTGACATAAAGTCATGTGTCATTCCTCAAATCTACATCTAACTACAAAGAGAGCAGTTTAGAACAGACTCTTAGATTCAATAGAGGGAACTGTTTCAGACGTAAAAATCAGAGAATTTAAAAGAAAAAAGCAAAGAGTCAAGGCACCACTTAAACGCTGTCTACGCTGCCTCCACCCTCCTGCCAAACGGCATCCCTTGAGTCAAGAATTCAGTTTTAGCTCAAGAGCAAACTTTTTATGGGTGAATGTTGGCTAAACTGAAAAGGAATTACTTCAACAATCATTTACTGAATGACTTTTTTTTTTTTTTTTTTTTTTTTTTAGGGGCAGAGTCTGGCTCTGTTGCCCAGGATGGAGTGCAGTGGCATGATCTCTGCTCACTGCAACCTCCACCTCCTGGGTTCAAGTGATTCTCCTGCCTCAGCCTCCCCAGTAGCTGGGATTACAGGCACCTGCCACCACATCTGGCTAATTTTTCTATATTTAGTAGAGATGGGATTTCACCACGTTGGCCAGGCTGGTCTCCTGACCTCAGGTGATCCACCTGCCTTGGCCTCCCAGCGCTGGGATAAAGGCGTGAGCCACCACACCTGGCCTATTGCATGATTTTTATTTGCAAAACATAACCCACAACATAATTCCTGCAACCAAGAAGTTGTTTATAGTCTCATGGGGAAACCAGATATTGAACACATAAGACACTTCATCAGAATTGAAATGTAAGGAAAATTGCACTAGTCTCCTGAAGGACATATAAAAGAAATCCAGTTGGCAGGAAACAGTGGCATCTTCACACAGACTTGGATGGGTGGGGAGTGAGTGTAGGTAACAGGTTCGAGGAAGTGGAAGAGAAGGGACCAGTCTTCAAGAGACTCCTAAGTGCTGTCGCTGAAGCTGTGGAGACTGCAACTTAGTCTGAGACGGAGAAAGAGAAGGCCCGGGCGCAGTGCTGAAGGCAAGTTTTGTTTAAGGCTGGACCTTGTCAGTCTGGAGGAAAGGTAAAGAATGAGGGGGACAGTGGGGTGGAAGATTAGAGTAGAATCATACTAACATAATAAATTACATAATTAGAATTAATCCTAGGGTTAATTATATACTAAAGGTGAAATGGGCAAGGTCATCAATAGCTCAAGTGGAGGCCAACTGCCTTGGCAGGAAGTTGGGATCAATTCTGAGAATGGGGAGGGGGTTGATTGATTTTAAAGAACTGACATGGAGTGGAGGAAAGTTGAGGGCACTGGATTGTCTGGCTTTGTGGAAAGTTAAATCACATTGCAGGCCTGAACGGCTGGAGTGGTTACTAGCTTTACAAGATTTGGAAAAGCCTGGAAATGTAGCTGGAGCAACGGTGAACACACTCAGCAAAGGAGGCAGGCATGGGTAACAAGCTACCAACAGCTGTTAACCACGGGGCGGTTGGGGCCCTGAGAGGTGCCACGGATACACCCAAGGCCCCGCTCGGCACAGCTGGACCGGAGAGGCACCACCCCTGCGAGCAGGTGGCAGGGCCAGCAGCCGAGAACGGGTGAGCGCGCGCGCGCTGCGGCATGCGGCGCGGGCGGGGCGCGCGAGGGCGCGGAGCTGGTAGCGCCGTGGGCAGCCGGGATTGAGGGGCGGGCCCTAGCGAGCCGTCCTCGGCGCGGCACTTGGCACGCACGCGCAGACTGGCCGCGGGGCCTGGAGGCACAGAGGAGGGGGAGCGAGAAAGAGGGGGGTGTGGAACGTATTTCCGCTCTGGCGGACAAATAATCCCGGCCAAAGGGGAGGCAAGGCCGTCCGGCCCTTTAACCGCGTGGGGGTGCTGGTGAAGAAAGGGGGGTCGGGAAGGGGGGATCCTGCTCCTTTAATTCCCTCCCCTCTTCCTCCTCCCCGAGTCCAAGCCGACGCCGCCGCCGCGCGCGCGGGGCCTGGAACACACGGCACGAGCCGCCCCCGCCCCTCCCCCCTTACGCCCACGCGGAGCCGGCCCCGCGCGCGCGCCCCGTGCACCCTCGCGCCTGCGCGCTGTCCAGGCCCTGCCCGTGTGTGGGGGGCGCTGCCGGCCCCGGGGGGGTGGGGAAAATAGGGGATAAAAAAAACAGCGCGCGGAACCGGGCCAGGTGAGAGGCGCGTGCACTCAGGGTCGTGGGGCTGGGGGGGGCGTGCCACGGAGCTCTGAGCGTGGGGGTAGGGCGTGCACGACGCGTGCAGGCGGCGGGGGGAGGACGTGAAAAGCGCGTGCAAACGTGTAAGGGGGGGCGGAGGAATGAGGCAGCCGGTAAAGGGGGCGGGGTGAGGAGAGCCTGCAACCCGGGCCACCTCGGAATCCAGAGCCCCAGGCCTCTGGCCCCCCTTTTCTCCGTTCTTCCTCCGTGGGAGCGCGGGCTCGCCCCATCCTAGCGGGCTACTGGGCTGGGGGGTGTGGACGCCGCTGCCCCGCCCCCGAGAACCACGCCTCCCTCCTCTCAGAGGGACAGCGCCTCCCCAGGGTTGGGGAAATTGAGGAAGAGATCTGAAGACCGGGAGATCGGATGCTGGGGGGCCGGGCAAGAATGGGGGCGAGGGTCCTGGAGCCTTGGCTTCGGAGAGCCAGAGACCTTTGTCTCTGACCGGTTTCCTTCCCAACCAGGGTTGCCCACCCCCGCCACAATGGCCTCTGGGGTGGAAGTCCTGCGCTTCCAGCTGCCCGGCCACGAGGCCGCTACGCTACGGAACATGAACCAGCTCCGGGCAGAGGAGCGGTTCTGCGACGTGACCATTGTGGCCGACAGCCTCAAGTTTCGAGGCCACAAGGTCATCTTGGCCGCCTGCTCACCGTTCCTGCGGGATCAGTTCCTGCTGAACCCCAGCTCGGAGCTGCAGGTCTCCCTGATGCACAGTGCACGCATTGTGGCCGACCTGCTCCTCTCCTGCTACACGGGCGCCCTGGAATTCGCTGTTAGGGACATCGTCAACTACCTGACGGCAGCCTCCTACCTGCAGATGGAGCACGTGGTGGAGAAATGCCGGAATGCCCTCAGCCAGTTTATTGAGCCCAAAATAGGCCTCAAAGAGGATGGGGTCAGTGAGGCTAGCCTTGTGAGCAGCGTCAGCGCCACCAAGTCCCTCCTCCCTCCAGCCAGGACCCCAAAGCCAGCCCCGAAGCCCCCACCCCCACCTCCTCTACCCCCTCCACTCCTGCGGCCCGTGAAGCTGGAGTTCCCACTGGATGAGGACTTGGAGCTAAAAGCCGAGGAAGAGGATGAGGATGAGGACGAGGACGTGTCTGACATCTGCATCGTCAAGGTGGAGTCGGCCCTGGAGGTGGCACACCGGCTCAAACCGCCTGGAAGCCTGGGAGGGGGTCTGGGTATTGGAGGCTCCGTGGGTGGCCACCTTGGGGAACTGGCCCAGAGCAGCGTGCCCCCCAGCACTGTAGCCCCACCGCAGGGTGTGGTGAAGGCTTGCTATAGCCTGTCAGAAGACGCGGAAGGGGAGGGCCTGCTGTTGATTCCCGGAGGCCGGGCCAGCGTGGGGGCCACCTCTGGCCTGGTGGAAGCAGCAGCGGTGGCCATGGCTGCCCGGGGGGCGGGGGGCAGCCTAGGGGCGGGGGGCAGCCGGGGACCCCTGCCTGGGGGCTTCTCAGGTGGAAACCCCTTAAAGAACATCAAATGCACCAAGTGCCCGGAAGTGTTCCAGGGCGTGGAGAAGCTGGTCTTCCACATGCGGGCGCAGCACTTCATCTTCATGTGCCCTCGCTGTGGCAAGCAGTTCAACCACAGCAGCAACCTCAACCGCCACATGAACGTGCACCGTGGTGTCAAGTCACATTCGTGCGGCATCTGCGGCAAGTGCTTCACCCAGAAGTCCACCCTGCACGACCACCTCAACCTGCACTCGGGAGCGCGGCCCTACCGCTGCTCCTACTGCGACGTGCGCTTCGCCCACAAGCCTGCCATTAGGCGGCACCTCAAGGAGCAACACGGCAAGACCACGGCCGAGAACGTGCTGGAGGCCAGCGTGGCCGAGATCAACGTCCTCATCCGCTAACCGCGCAGGCGTGGAGGCCAGGAGCCTGGGGGTCCCTGGGCTGGGTGGGAAGGGGGCTCTTTGGCCCAGGAGAATTGGGGGGTGGGGGGTCTGGGGCAGAAAGGTAGAGTGGGAGTCTGAGCACACTCACGCATCTTGAGAGAGGAAAGATGATTCCTTGGAGAGAAGACTTGCTCTGGAGAGCGCAAGAAGCTGGAGCTGGGGACAGGGTTCTTGGAGTAGGCCAGGGTAATACGGGGGTCCCAGAGAAAGATTTCCTTCTCTCAGAGGTGCATGTATATGTGGAGGGAGGGAAAAGGGTCCTATAGAACGAGGGAAGACAAAGACAAAAATGTTTTATTCCTGGCTAAGGCTGCCCAGGGGAAGGTTCTGACATTTCTTGAGGTAAAAAGGGTGGGTGGGTGGGAACAGGGAGGGAATTTGGCAGGAGGACATGCTCCTGCTTAGAATAGACCTGGGGTGAGGGAGTGGTAAGGGGAAAAGATTGTTGAGTCCCAGAAAAGGAAGGGGGAGACAGTTCTTGCATGCTGGGGAAATGGGACTGCGAGTATGAGGCTTGCCGAAATTTGAGGGAGAGCAAAGTAAGACACCAGGTAAGAGAACATGGGGTGTGCATCCTGGGTAGATATTGGGAAGTGGGGGTACAATAGCAAGAACAGTGGATAGTCATGGGGGTGGGGGGTAGGGTACTTAGAAGAAAGAGCCTAAGAAGGGCTGTTGGGAGGGAGAGCAGTAGAGACTTATACAGTATTTTTTAAGAAAAAAACATATTTTTTAGGATTTTTTCTGGAGTTTGGGGTTTTAGTTTTTCTGCTTTTGTTTTCCACAAAATAAAAAACAAAAAAAAAACTTTTTCTTTCTTTCTACACTCTGGCAACTGCGTGTATATGACTATCCTGCTCTAGACAGCCTCTATGATGCTGCATTCTCAATACCTAGAGGTCACAACTCATGCATGTCCCTTGCCTGAAGGAGCCCAGTGTGATGGGAGAGGAGTGTGACAAGTGAGCTCCTCTGGCCAGGGACTCCCTCCAAGCCCCCGCCCCCAGCCCTCCACCAGTTCTGCAATCTCAGCACTTCCCCAGGTACCTCACAGTACAAGTGATTGGCAGTCGTGAGGATGCACATGAACTCTATTTGAGGGGCTTAAGATCGGTGCTAGGGATGAGCTACATGTGGCCAACATGCCCACGGAAATTGTAAGCAGGAGTCTGTGTTTAATTATATTTTGTTTGGGGTAAATGGTTCGTGTCTTTAAAAAAACAAAAAAAAAGGAACGTTAGTTTGGATTAAGGTGCAGGGAAAACTACAATTCCCAGAAAGCTCTGGAATAGTTAACCAAAGAGAACTACAGTTCCCAGAAGGCCTTGAATTGGCCTCAGGTGGCCCCACCTGTCTCAGTCAAATACTGCGTGTGAAATCATACAGATATTTTCCATACTCAACCAAAATGTAATACCTGAGGGGAGGATACCGTAAATACAGCTATCGAGGTTGTTATCTTGGTGTATATCATTTATACTTAAATTGTCCGCTAGGCTGTGACCCACGGAGTACCTGATTGTGCTTATGAAGTGTTCGGCAAAAAAGGTTACTTACTGCAGTGTCATCAGACAGTAAAGACCTTCGGGCCGCTGGGCTTACCTGGATCCCTAATGCGTGTGGAGGTGTAACACGCCTGATATAAACAGAAGAGACATTTAGCCACGGGTTTTCAAAAGGGCACGCTGCTCCAGGGGACGTGAAGCAGCATGCTAGAACCAGCCAAGAGTAAAGGTGTCCTTCGCGTCCCTATCGCCCCCTTCTTGCTCGTTAGAAAGGCGAGGCCAGGCCGGGCGTGGTGGCTCACGCCTGTAATCCCAGCACTTTGGGAGGCCA